AATATGCGGAGGTGTGGGTTGAGAAGTAGAGCGCCTACACCTCACAAATCATTCGTGTTTTTATGGCTAATAAAGAGTGCTATAAATCTATTTAATTCCTATAATACTATGACAAATATTTATAAAATCAATGCTTTAATACATAACATATTGCATATAAAATATAATTCTTAACTTATAGATAAAATTCTCGCAAAATATAACACTTAAAAATGTGTTTAATTAACAAAAATAGAAACTTAAACAAAATATTTGTTATATTCTACAGTGTATTATAGGCTACAATTGAATGGAATTGTATGTCTCGGAAACACTAGACAATGAACAGTCTAATTGAGTTCACCCACCGGTGCATTTTCCAGCCATAGATTGTGCATAAATTGGTACAGACTGTCGGTCACCGATACTTTATATGGGGTTGGATTCAAATTTCGTTTGATGTCCGCACGCAATGTGTTCAGCGAGTTCTGGACGTGACTCCGGATCTCCTCCAAGTCCGGCATTTTCTGCTGAACCTAAACACCAAACTCGGCGTTAATTTTCATTTCGCATTAAACTCCGTATAAAAACAGAATATTCTTCGCGAGTATTAAATCACAAATCACTGGAAATGATAATTACTTTTCCGTTTTGCCACCAAATCTTTAACAACGGCTCCACTTTGGATGGCGTGGCGTAACACCTCTTGGATTCCTGGAACGGGTGTCGACACAACACTTTGGACTGGGCTTTAGGGGCCGGCTCTTCGGCGCCCTGCATCAGGTCCAGCAACGCGTAGCCCTCTTTGCCGTACAGCCGGAACACACTCTTCCTGCCGGGAACCGTCACTTTCTCCACATCTAAACTGATTTTAATACACGGGTGACCATTGATCTCCACTAACTATGCCGTCAGATAATCAATCCGATTAACGCCTGAAATGTATTTCCCACTCAAATGTCTGTCCAAACCTTATAGACACAGCCGAGCGCCGGCTGTCTCTCGCAGGTGACCAGATGTGTGCCGATTCCGAACGCATTGATGCCATGCTTTTGCTCCTTCAACGATACGATGGTGTCTTCGTTGATGTCATTGCTGGCGACGATTGTCAGCTCCGGGAACCAGTCCAGCGAATACTTGTCGCCAATTGTGCGGAACTTCTCGTACGCCACCAGCGATTGATAGGCCAAATCACCCGAGTCTATGCGCACCCCTATGGCCCGGTATCCCAGTTGGTTGAGCGCTAACGCCACTGCACTGAAGTTAAGTAATCCGCTCCTGGATTATACGGCAATTATTTTTAATAGTTTAAGACCGAAAATTAATGATCACTAAAATGGGCGGTAAGTGTCTTACCTAATGACATCGTATGTGTCCACTAATGCCAGAAATGAATCCGGGAATGAAAGGGCGTAAGCGATGAAAGCGGCCTTCATTTCATGACAAATAAAGATTTCGGTTAATTAATAGCGCAACAACTCATCGCTAATAACATGTAATTTCATACAAATTCACTGGAACTGCACTCCGACTGCAGCACATCCAACAAATCGGACAACTCTTTCTGGTATTTGAGGCACAGGTCCACAAAATCCACTTTCTCTCCGGTCGTCTTGTTCGCCAAAATCTAATCAAATGTCAAAATGTATTACAAATACTTTTATCATTTAAAAATAACTCAATATTACTGACTCTAATGTTTAAATCATCGACAGATGAATAGGACATCACGAAAGAGTGTGCGTGAGTTCCCTTCAGTGGTATGCCATACATCTTACCGGCCAATACATTACTGGTGCCATCGAAGCCTCCCATATATGCATATCTGGAGGCTATTTGTAATACACTTACAATTTAACTGATTTGCATAAACCATAAACTATTTTCAGTTTATTTTCACTTTGAGTTATGAAATCAATTCAATAAAACAACTTATTATCAGAGAAAGGGTTTGCATACCTGAAAGTCCGCCTACAATAGAGACAACAATTTAATTCAATTAGTTTATTAGCCAAACAAATGGTTGCATATCTGGTCATACCGTCGATGCCTTGAGCCCTGCGGAGACCAAACTCGAAGAGTTGAATATCCCTTCCATCCAATGCTATCCGATATCTTGTGGCGTTTGTAGTGATGAGACTGTCGGACAAATTAATTCATAATTCGTGTGAATTTTTAAATTTATTTGTAATTTTCATAGCAAAACAGATGAGGCAGTGAGTGAGGGACAGGTATGTGAGTAGATATTAGAGACCTGGCGTAGTTGACTAATGTTAATATTGTGGTCTCGAGTAGTTGTGCGATAGGGAGCGGGC